TCCTGCTCTTTTCAAGAAATGATGCTGCGAGAAACGGGCTCTAATGTTCTTGTGCATGCTCTGGGAATGAGCTTTGTGTGCATTTCAGTTTGGAAATAAAGGTCATGCTTTTATTTTGAACTAAGCTCTTAGAGGCTGGTATCACTGCTGTTTGCCAAGTGATTCAGCGTCACTTCATACTGGGGTATTACCGCTTTGGGTCTATCTCTGTGTAAGTGAAGGCAGCCCGCTCAGTGTTTCTGTGATTGGCAAGTTCAGACCATTTCATCAGGGAGCCCTATTCTCTCTCTACTTCCACCCCATGGCAAGGTACAAGTAACTGTCAGTGAAGTCCATGATCTTTTTTCATATCCTGCTGAGGGAGGTCTCCACTGCACTCTGCAATATCTAACATTTGAGAGACTCCTTTCCTGCAGAAAGCAGTAGCACTAGAAATGATTAAAACAAGTCCTAAAATGTTGTCTTAGCCTAATGAAATTTCATCATCAAGCAACTGAGAGCTGGTACTTCTCTGAGACTTTTTAAAGCTCAAATTAAAAAGAAAATTAAATTTAAAATGGGGAAAAAACAAAAATAAAATCGCCTTTTTCTTGACAAGAGGTGACTCCAGGGTGTTGATGGTTCCTCATACAGTGAGCCTAAAGGAGCATAAAGAGCAGCTACCTACAGTACATTAGGAGGTCAGTGGAGTTATCTCTTATTGCAGTAAAAACACAGACCCCTGAACTTGTCAGTGTTTGATAAGCAAGTGACAGGAGGAACTGATTTTTAAATATTGGATTTGGGGGTGGAGTGTTAAATGGAGATTTCAATGAGGATTTAAAGGAATATATTTGAGGAAGGATCTCATTTCAGAGCCTACTGGAATAGTGACTCCTATCACAGAGAAATGCCACCCCTGCCTTGGAATTGGTTTGTACTCTTATCTTTGAGCCATCTCAGAAGAGAGAGGAATTGTCATACTTGTTAAGACTAGTGGTCTGTCTAGTCTAGCCTCCTATCTCTGAGGGTACGTCTACATTGCAGTCATGGGGTGTGACTGCAGTTTGTGTAGACCTACCCGAGCTACCTTTGTCTAGCTAGCTCAGGTACCAGATCACTGAACGTGCAGAGTCCAGGCTTGTACACCCCAACTGAAGGCCAAAGTGCTGAGGCTTCACTGCTCTGATAACTAAGCTAGCTAGATGGAAACTAGCTTGACTATGTCTACATGAGCTTCAGTCACACCCCATGACTGCAGTGCAGGCATACCCTGAGAATGGCCAGTACCAGATGCTTCAGAGGAAGATAGAAAATCCGTGTAGCTTGTACCTTCTCTTGGATCAAAGCAGGATTTCAGTCTCCAACATGGGAACTCCAGAACCTTTGACCAGCACTAAATTCACAAAGAAGAACACACAGTAATATTTCTCTTTGTAATGGTCGTATCCTTGGGTCAGGATCCTGAACAACTTTTAGGATCAAATGAAAACAGCAGTACTGCTCTGAGGCCTTGGCTACACTTACCCGGTAGTTCGA